GAAGCCTTGTGATCATAAATGTGGAAGGCGGAGCACGTACATGAGACACCCTCCCACAGAATCACAGAATGATCTCAGTTGGAAAAGACCTTGAAGATCATCCAGTCCAACCATGAACCTTACACTGACCGTTCTCAACTCCACCAGATCCCTCAGCACTATGTCAATCCCACCCTAGGGATGGCTTGAACAGACAAATGATTTCATCGTTGTCCCTGACCACATCTGTGCCACTAAAAGGATTCTTTTTAGAGTAGAACACAGGAGCCATCAGGGCCCTTGCGTAAGAACCTGTGTCAGTGTGGGGCAGTGAGCGGGACAGCAGAGTGCCCTGGGGTGGATCCCTCTCCTAGCTTGCCTGGTGCAGTCCAGACCCTGACCTGTACCAGCCATGGGGCTGCCCCGTTCACACGAAGCAGCCCAGGTAGTAGCCCAGGTAGTGCTCCACTGTGGAAATGTCAGCCTGCAGCAGCGGCCTGGTCAACCCCCAGCCCTGAAAGACGTCCTTCTGGAAATGTGGCACTAGCAATGCCATCCCTCAGTCCGGAGACTCCACGGCACAACTAAGCTTTTGCCTACACTTGGTAACTTCCTCTCCCCAAAAGCTGCGCCCAAGCCATGTGTGGGCCTGCAATGGTCCCTCGGGTGTTGTCCAGGAGAGTCCTTGCTGTAAGCCAGAACCGTGTCAGGAACACCCAGCGGCTCAGCAGTCAGCACGGCTGAACCATAATGCCACAGGATCAAGTGGTTCAATGGCAGTTCACAACAATTTTCCAAAGAAAACCTCAGGAACAAGAAGGTGGCAGGAAAGTGCCATGGAAATATCTGGGAGATGTTCATAGAAAGCATATCCAGAAATGTTCTCAGGCAAGCTGAGACCTTAAGACCTCATCACCCTCTACAACTCCCTGAAAGGAGGGTGCAGAGAGCTGGGGATGAGTCTCTTGAACCAAGGAACAAGCAACAGGGCAAGAGGGAATGGCCTCAAGCTGCACCAAGGCAGGGTTAGACTGGCTCTTAGGAAGTATTTCTTTGAAGAAGGGGTTGTTGGGCGTTGGAATGGGCTGCCCAGGGCAGGGGTGGAGTCCCCATCCCTGGAGGGGTTTGAGTCAGATTGACCCAGCGCTGAGGGATCTGGTGAAGTTGAGAACTGTCAGTGTGAGGTTCATGGTTGGACTGGATGATCTTCAAGGTCTTTTCCAACTGAGATGATTCTTTGATTCTGCCTGCTCCCCTTGGCCAGCACTTCCCAGGCATCCTCTTGGACTTCCAGGACATAACTGGGGAGACAGCAAGCACAATGCACAAACAGCAAATCTTGTGTTGAGACCAAAATGAAGAACACACCACTCAAGTCTACGGAGGTTGAGGCATGGGGCTTCGCTTTCCAGTCTGGACTGCTTGGTCAGGCCTAACTCTGCGCACAGCACTGCCTACAACTAACACAGCAGGCAAGGAGCACAAGCTGGCAGAGGTGACATGGGCCAGTCACCTGTGCTTTAGGATTTCTTGATGTTGAAGGGTTTGATTTAGGGTTCAGCCGTAAATGTTGTACTAATGCTGGTTATTTGCATTTAGTTAGTTCTAAACCAGTTAACAGAACCTATGATTGATCTCTACTACTTGTCTATCTCTGGATAGTCTCTTTACCAGTGAAATTTCATACAAGAATAAAAGTTAGGAGGACATTACAGCTGTAAAGTGAAGAAAAAATATCACAGCAAAGTAGAGACCACTCTGCCAGGAGCTCTTGACAGCTCATGAGGAGATTAGGTGCTCCAGAGCTTTCAGTCACCAACTTCCAAAACTTTGATCAAATGCTGATATATTTTCCAAGGGATAAAGAAAAGTTTCTAATTGAGGACAAAACTTCTGTTTCTAGGCAATCTTTGAATCAAATCTCTGAAGATTTACAGCTCTTGGAGACAAATTTTGATGTTGACAAAATAAACACAGAATCACAGCATGGCAGAGGTTGGAAGGGACTTCTGGAGGTTGTCTTGCTCAAGCAGGACCATCAAAGCCAGTTGCCCTGGACTGTGACTAGATGGGTTTTTATTACCTCTGAGAAGAGACTACACAACCTCTCTGGGCACATACACCATCACATCTGCATATACATTCCACAAAAAGTAACCTTAGGTGGACGTAAAGCAGCTGCAAAGTCTGACAATGTTCTTTACCTCCAAAAACAGGGTTTACAATGGGAACCTAAAATAAAACAACCTTGACTACAGTCAGAGTACAATCATCCACTGCGCTCAGAGTCCCACAGGTTTCACAAATAAAAGCTCCTTCCCCATTCTTACTTTATTTAGCTCCAAGTTGGACCATCTGTACCTACTCTGGATGTTATTTTGAATTATCACGAGTGGTGCATATGTGTATTTATCCACATACAGATATTTTATCTTTTTTTCTCCTCTCCCATCTACTACTTATTTTCTTGCCCTTGGGTAAGGACTGAGCATGCAGTGGACATTAATTTGCACATTCACTTACCTTGGCAGAGTTCAGGTCACAAAGAAACCACAGACCACCTGCTCTGAACTTTGAACACAAGCCACTAGGTTTTACCCAGGCACTCCTGGTGTAAGACAGCAAATCATTCGGGTCTCCAAAGCTAACATCCTCTGAAGATTAACTTGTGCACTAGCAAAGAACTTAAAATTTTGAGGTGGTCCCTCTGCAGCTCCCCAAAGCATGTATGAGATGAGATGCCCAGTGGACCCCAGTAACAGTCCCATCCCTAGCCCCCAAGACAGCAGAACTGCAAAGTCCCTGCTAGTTTGAAGCAGGGCAGATTATGTAGCAACCCCAAATCCAGTACTCTGCATATTATCCAGTCTGCATTACAGGGATATGAGCAAGTCACCTCAGAGGATTTTTATCATGTCAATGCACTTACCGTGGCGACTGCATCGTCAGCTGCAATCAGTCTTGGTGGCATCAGAGTGAGTTGAAAGAATTCCTCAGAAAACATCTTACCATTTGTGTACCAGAAGAAAAAACCTTTCTTACCAATGCAGACAACCACCCAAAGTCAAGATATGTAAAATCTGATTAAGACTGCTGTCTTAATGCTGAGCCCTGTCCTGATGCATATGCTCTGGGTAGCACAGCAGTGCTGCTCTGCTCAGGGGCCCAGAGAGAAGACAGTGAACAAGGGATCTCAAATCCACAGATTTCTACATGTGAAAAGACCACAGTATCCAGCCAGTTTGATCCCCGGCACACACACATGCATCAACAGACACATGAGCTGGATTAAAGCATATCTTGTAGAAAGATAACTAATCTCGTTTTAAAGGCTTCAAGCAGTGCTAAGTCCACCAGCTCTCCAGATAAACCATTCCAACATTTAATTACCCTCCCTGCTAGGAAACTACATCTCCTCTCAAGTTTAAATTGCTCTAACTTCAGCCTCCACGCACTGCGTCTCCTCAAAGCTTTGTCAACCAGACTGAAAGGCCTCGCAGAGCGCTCGCTTCCAGGCGCTGGTTTTCCAAGCAGCGGTAATCAGTAATCAAGTCACATCTCAATCTGCTCTTGTGAGCCCAACAGGACTGAGCTGACTGTTGAAAGCAGGATACAGGGTTATGTGAGCATTTGGTTTGACATCAGCATAAGCTTTTCTGTGGTCTGTCTTTGGTTCTTCTTACAGCTCCGATAACCTTCTTTAAGTGGGAGCTCAGACGAAACACCCCACAAGTGCCCGCCCTTGAAGCGCCTCTGTACAGAGGCAGGAATTGGTACCACACTTGGGCATGCTGAGGGTGTACAGTGGCGGTGAAGAAATGACAGTGTACAGTGGAGAGCTGTGGCAGAAAACAGGCAGAGTTGAACATCCTCAGTCAAAAAAGACAGCTCATCTGGTCTGCAGACTTATTCTGACTCTACAGAAACAGCAGTTTCACTTCAGAAGGGCTTATTATTTCACACTTGGCACCACACAAACACACCGATGTTAGCACACCCCATTCCCTATGTTGTGTGTGATGCTGAGGGCCCCAGCCAGCTCCTGGCATTCACCCCAGCTGCACCCCATCTCACGAGGCCTCAGCTCCAGAAAGCTGTGAAGACAACACCCTGACCACAAGATGCAACGGGGATGCAGAGCTGGACTGAACAGAAATGATGATGTAGTCACTCGAGTTGACTCTTGCTGGAACAGTGTGCAGTACCAGATTAGGAAGGATTTGTGTTAGCAGCAGCATTATCAGCACTCCCTTGTTATCCTGAAGAGTTGAGAGGTACCCACACCCTGCTATACCAGCCTGGAAAGAATGCATGTGGGCACTGTCCCTCCAGGTCAAGGATACCAACCCCAAGGACAAAAGTAAAGGTGTGTCAATGTTCTGGGAAAGTCGGGCAGGAAAGCTCTAAGTTCAACAGCTCCCCTGGGCAGGGAGAGATACCTCCTATGGCAGGAGAAGCAGTAAGCAGTGTGGCATGAACTCTGTGACAAACCAGAGAGCCTCCCAACCTCACCTCCTCTCACCACTCTCTGTGGCAGCTCTGACTCTTGAAGGGCACACAGAAGAAAAATAATTACAAAACAAGCCCCTGACATTACTATTTCTCCAGGAGAAAGTGAGGAAAAAAAAAGGGGGCCAAGAAAAAGGAAAGAAACTAAAGAGAACTTGCCAGGGATCAAGAGACATCCCTGGTTGAGAGATCTGTTGAGATTTGGTTTAGGAAGCAACAGCTTCCCCCAGGCACAGCAACTCATCAGACTTGACTGCTTCCTCTCAGGGAGCTCACGTCACTGGTTAAAGCCCTTCTACTCTTTCTTTTGTCCTGAACACTAACCAGCATAAAATCTTACCTGAGACCCACGCAGAACCTCCAACACCCACTGAAGGTGCTTGCAAAAAGTGGTGAAAGCCACATAGAAACTCCAGAACAGCTTTTGTTTCTAGTTCAGCAAAGCAAGGCACTGCTGAGGCACCAGTGGGAAGGACAGCCACCAGCTCTGTGGCACCCCCACCAACTCTTACCTGTGCCTCCGGTCAGCTGCGTGCTGCTCCGCTCCTTCGCAAGCCCGTTGGCTTTGGGGCTAGCGCTGGGCGCTGCTGCCGTTGTCGCCCTGGGTAGCCTCTTGCCCGGTACCTTCACTGTAGTTCTCAGCAGATCGATTTCCTTCCCATGGACATTCTGCATGTAATCCTACAGCAGAGAAACATAGCGGTTCAAGATCAGCCCTGCCCTGGCCCACCACTCTCAGCTCCCCTCTCATACACATCATCAAAACCAAAACCCGGATCTGTTCATCCACACAGTAACAGACAGATGGTCTTGGGGGTGATTTGGGAGCTCATCACATGCTGGTTTCTCCTGCAACACACTTAAGTCTCAAGTCAGGTGGGCTGGAGGTGAAAGACCCTATGGCTTCCCCAGTGTCAAGAACCAGCTGTTTTCTGACAACATGGATGCAAAGCCTGGACTCCAACCTGCCTTAAATAGCGAGGCCAGCAGGGACAGGGAAGGGATCTTACCCCTGTACTCAGCACTGGTGAGGCCGCACCTCGATGACTGGGTTCAGTTTTGGGCCCCTCACTACAAAAAGGACATTGAAAGACTTGAGCGTGTCCAGGGAAGGGCAACAAAGCTGGTGAAGGGTCTGGAGCACAGGTCGTAGGGGGAGTGGCTGAGGGAACTGGCAGGGGGGTTTAGTCTGGAGAAGAGAAGGCTGAGGGGAGACCTCATCGCCCTCTACCGCTCCCTGAAAGGAGAGTGCAGAGACCTGGGGATGAGTCTCTTGAACCAAGGAACAAGCAACACGACAAGAGGGAATGGCCTCAAGCTGCATCAGGGAAGGTTTAGACTGGCTATTAGGAAGTATTTCTTTGCAGAAGGGGTTGTTGGGCGTTGGAATGAGCTGCCCAGGGCAGGGGTGGAGTCCCCATCCTTGGAGGGGTTTAAGAGTCGGGTTGACCCAGCGCTGAGGGATCTGGTGGAGTTGAGAACGGTCAGTGTGAGGTTCATGGTTGGACTGGATGATCTTCAAGGTCTTTTCCAACCGAGATCTTTCTGTGATTCAGTGATTCTGCCTGCTTCCCACGGCTAGCTTGTGACTTAGAACTGGCTCCTGAGAAGTGCCAGATCTTACTTCCAGTGCCCAGAACTAGTCAGCTCTGATATGAATAATGTCGGGATGTTGCCACAGGCAGTCAGATGCCGTGACAAGCCCATTTGTGAAAGCCTGGCTGGGGCTCAGAGATTAGATGGAGCAAAAGAGCATGTAGGTGGCAGGCAGTTCTTCTTCCCTGTCATCCATGGTCTTTTCCATCACAGCATTCAGATATAACAGCTAATAATATAATATAGTATAGTGTAAGTAATGGGATACTTGGAAATTCCCTTTCAAGTCACAGCTAGGATAATTCAAGACCAAACCAACACAACTCAAGATTAACTCCCTTGTACATTCACCTGCATAGCTTTATATGATTTAAAATTTGGTGCTTCCATCATTTTTTCTGGTAGACTTTATTATACAACCAAAAACTCCACATGCAGATTGTTAATAACTTTCTGGCCTGTCTCCTAATTCCATCTCATCTTTTGGTCAAAATAAGGCTGCAGAGACCTCTAACTCTCCTGAGAGCTGTGTCCTTCATCCTTTGCTGCTCCACAGGGCATTGCAGCTCTCCCCTCACCCTCTCCGACACGGCTAGCTCTTCCCTGCTTCATGCCCCGGAAAGGGCAGACCTGACCAGTGTGATCTCCAGAGAGACACGTGGAGGGGAAACCACCCTGCTCTGCTCTCAGGCAGCCCTCAAGGGAGCAGGGACCAAAAGCTGAGCTAGACCCTGGGAGGAATCACGACACAGGAGTGTCATCCCCTGGCTCTCTGTGCTGGAGATGTGTGCTGCGACTGGGAGAGAAGTGGCAGCAACCGTCCAGGGGGAGACTGCAGCTGCTGCAGGGAGGCTTGGGCTTGCTCCAGTTCACAAGGAGGTCACCAAAAAGATTAACTCAGAGCTGGTCCCTGTCTGCCTCCAAAACCAAGAAGATAAAGACATGAACAAGATCGGTTTAAGAGCAAGCATTCTCCCAATCCTCAGCACAGAGAAGCCGGTGAATGGGGGCTGTATGGAGACCACAATGCTCTGTGGTCTCAGCTGACTACCTGAAAGGGTTACAACCTTGCAGCAGCACCTCAAGACCTTGAACTCTCCTCTTTCCACAGAGCAGGCATCCAGTCCTCACCACAGATCCAAGTGCACGGGCAGCGTGGCAGCCTACCCTTCTGTGCTTCCAACTTCTGGGTGACTTGACCTCAAACGACACGCACACATCCTTTAGTTCCCCCAGGCAATTCCTAGATAACCAGCCCAACCAAACCCTACTTCAAGCTGTTCCTAGCTGGGTGGGAGCCTGGTGGCACCCCTGGGCAGGGAATCTCGGAGGGGCTGGAGGATTTTCCCTAACTCAGCACAATTGCTGCGGTAGCCGGCTGCCTGCCGGAGAGAGCGGTCACCAGCGCACTGCTTTTATTACATGCTATAAAACAGCAATTTCTTCCCAAGCCTCCTCGCTAATTACCCAGCCAGTTCTCTCATTTCATTTTATTACTGGAATTAACAACGAGTTCAAAGCGTGGAAAGCTATTAAGATGTGTGATTAAGCCACATTCAATTAGTTTCTACAAACAATTTAATTGATGTTGCAGATAGAATTAACAGAAGGTGATTGTGTGAATGGCTCCACTGGCTGCAAAATGGGAGATGGTTTCTCTCTAGCTCTGCGCAGCACAGCACAGCCTGGCCACTGAAGCTGGGCTGAACCACATACGCCTTCCTCACGAGCAGAAGCATTTACTCTCCAAGGCTTTGGGAAAGTGATAGGAAATTGCACTGGTCTCTTCACAGAACTTGCTCCTTTCCTGTCTCTGAACACACTCACAGAAAGGTAAGAAAAATACAAATGCAACAAGGAAAACTGTGCTGAATCCAGGGAGCAGGCCCCCAAGCACTCTTGCCTTCAGCAAGAGCTGCTGCCCACTGGTCCAACTCCAGGCATCCTGCCTGCAAAGTCTCTGGAAGCACTGACTGTTCCTGAGAGGAGGCAGAGGTGGCACCTGAGAGCAGGAAAGCACAGCTCCACAGGACCCAAGCACAGGTCCAGGATGGCAGTCAAGGCAGACATACTGCCATTGAGGAGTCACACAACACTTGATTTCAGGGCTGGACCCAGCTCACTGGAGCACTCTCTGTCCACCTGTGACTGCAAACCTACAGTTTAAGCTTGACTCTCAGTGACCAAACTTCAAAGGGGAGCTGGAGGTGCCAGGATATAGATCCAGAAACAAGTCAAGGGATAAAACCCCCTCACTACAAAAAGGACACTGAATTACTCGAGTGTGTCCAGAGAAGGGCAACGGAGCTGGTGCAGGGTCTGGAGCACAGGTCTGATGGGGAGCGGCTGAGGGAACTGGGGAGGTTTAGTCTGGAGAAGAGGAGGCTGAGGGGAGACCTTATCGCCCTCTACAGCTCCCTGAAAGGAGGGTGCAGAGACCTGGGGATGAGTCTCTTGAACTAAGGAACAAGCAACATGACGAGGGAATGGCCTCAAGCTGCATCAGGGAAGGTTTAGACTGGCTATTAGGAAGTATTTCTTTGCAGAAGGGGTTGTTGGGCGTTGGAATGGGCTGCCCGTGGCAGGGGTGGAGTCCCCATCCCTGGAGGGGTTGAAGAGTCGGGTTGACCCAGCGCTGAGGGATCTGGTGGAGTTGAGAACGGTCAGTGTGAGGTTAATGGTTGGACTGGATGATCTTCAAGGTCTTTTCCAACCGAGATCATTCTGTGATTGTGATAAAAGCCCAAAAACAAATGAATAGTCCCACCAGGAAGTTTTTGGTTGGAAATATGAGAAGTGTGACCCAGGCAGAGCCATGCTGTAACCTTCATCCAAAGGGGCACAGACACATCTGCCTGGAGGAAAAGAAAGGCAGGCAGGGCTGTTGATCCCTGGGGTACTTACACCCATCCCAAGAGGGACAGGGAGAGAACATAACAGAGATGCAAGAGAAGAGAAGTCTAGGCAGGAATTGCCCTGAATCATACCAAGGAAAAGCCACTGGGAACAACAAAGCAGCACTAAAATGCTCTGGGGCTTGAACACCCTGATGGGGGAATGGGAAAAAGCCCTCTTCCTGCGGTGCTTAGCCGTGCCCTCAGGGACCCCTCTGCTGCACCCTAAATTCTGCCATCCCCTGGCCCTGTGGCAGTGCAGGCTCCCCCCGTGCAAGGCAGGGGAGAAGCTGGGACACGCACATCTCAAAGAGGAACTTCAGAATGGCGGGTGTCCCTTTGATGAGGATCTGCATACCTGTTTTGGCCAGCGGCTTACCTCACCGCGTGCCTGCTGGCCTGAGAGCTGCTGCCATAAATGGCAGTGACCAAGCAGCACGTGCCCTTCCTCAGGAGTGCAGGTTTCATTCCTGACCTAGACTGTTCAGCCCTAACATGCTCTGCTTCTGTCATCCTGTGAAAGGACATGGCAACTTGCTTCACGCCACGGGAGACAAACCCAGTGACAAATGCGCCGCAGCATCTTCTGATTTGCTCAAGATGATGGGGAGGAGAGGATATAATGGGATACTCTCTTCTTGACCACCTCTTCCTCTAGGCTTCCTTCCTGCACCTGTCCCCTCCAAGCAGGTTGTAAAGCAGGTATCCAGAGGGAAGATGAGGCAAGGCAGAGGGGCCTTCACTGCTCAGAACAGCACACTGCTCACCAAAGCCTCTGTCAGCATTGCAGTAAAAAATGTAAGAGGATGGTAGGTGTCGTGGCTCTTTTCCCCAGTTCTCAGGGAGGCAATGCCACGGAGGGAGCATGCAGACCCCACCCTGTCCCTGAAGAAGCTGGAGCTGGGCAGCAAGCAGCCCTGTGTTCCGTGGCCCACACGTAATTAGTTCTTGCTCTAAGTAAACATATAGGGCAATACAACACCTATCTTGGGTACAAGGTTCAAAGCTTTCAGTGAAAGCAAGGGGAGGAGAGTCCCATCTTGTACCTTTCTTAGCAACGGGCTGTGGATCACCAGCAGCACCAGGTGGAAGCAAACCAGATTTTGCTTGGGGCAATATAGTAATGAAATGAAACGCTGAAGAAGTGCAGTAAGGAAAGCAAGTGACATCAATCTAGATCACCCCCTGAGGAAGAAATGGTGTAAAAAGGAGAGAAACTTAGTGTGTAGCAGCATCATCTGAGAGCGGTTAAACAACATCCCAGAAATTACTCTGCCTCTATAGCTGATTGTAATAACGGCCTATGATGCCTCCGATGGAAATGTGATAAACCTACACACGCGTGTGAGCACACACGCAGAGCCGGCAGCAGAAGCAGCCATTCCATCCCAGTTTGGTTCTATAAAGACCAAAAAATGGGTTTACAAAGTTAGGGAACTGCAGAACCACAGTACAGTACAGGGATCAAAGACTAAAAGAAAAAAAACCTGTTCTCAAAGCTCCCACAAGCTAAGGAAAGGAAATGCAGTGGGTGGCTTTCCAGTGAAAGGATAGGAGGGTTAAAAGGCTCAGTGGTTCAGAAGCCAGACAACTGAGCATTGCAAGCCCATGAGTTACAGACACAGGGTTAGAAATGAGAAAGATTCTGAGGCTCAGGGCACTCTAACCCCAGCATGTCTGAGATTAGGGACAAACCAAGGGAAGCACAGGAGCTGCAGCACCTTGCAGAGCACCCCAGCACCCCCCAAACCCAGGCCAGGCCCTGCCCTGTGCTCCCCAGCCGCTGTCCGTCTGTCCTGCAGCAGCATGTCCCCTCCACAGAGGGTGCTGTGGCCTCAGTGTCACAGGTGTGTCTGGCCGTGGCTCACTGTCTCAGCAGCAAACTGTGCTCAAGAGGGAATGGGGAAGAAGTCATTAGCCCCACAGTGGGGAGGCGACAGAGATGGATGGGGAGGCAGCTGCGCGCCTGAGCCAAGCAGTGAAGAGGATCAGAGATGCATCGAGTGACAGCTCAGCTCGGCAGGCTCTGCACAGGCACCTCATCTCCATTACCCAATACCTAGCAGCCAGGAAAATTATTCCACACCCAAATCGCAGCATCAGCCGTGGCTGCAAGTTCTCCGCCTGCTCCTCACCCCAGATGCAGGGAGGCAGCAACTCCTGCTTTAATGGACTGAGCAAAGGAAACAGAAAAGAAAGATGTGTTTACTTAGCATAATTCTGTGCAGAGCATGTTCCTATCAGCTTTTCCCACTCAGCCTGGCACTGCAGAGACAGCCTCCATGAGAGAGAAGAGGTTTTCTCCAGACCCTGGTGAAAAACAGCTCTGCTGAACACACCTGCCCCGTCGAGGGCTAGTGCTGAACCTCCTGCGCAGGGTCCTGCCGCAGCCAGAAAATGGGGCTTTCATCTGCCAAACTCTTCCCAAGCAAGTCTCTCAAACTTGCATCTGCAAGAGGACCTGCTGCAACAGCCACAGCACAAAGAAGGACGCTGCTCTGTCCCACCCCGCTCCTCTACCCAACCCAGCGTGGTGCTTACATGCAGGCTGGGGTGGTAGGTGAGGACTCCATTGTCACACAGCGTCACGTACTTCTTCTTCCACTCCTTGTTGAGAGACTTGCCGCTGCGTTTGAGGAGAATGCCCTGAAAGAGAAAGGTCAAGAGTCTCAGATCTTGTTTGGCTCAGGGACCTCCCTGCTCAGCTACAGCACTGCCCCTTGTAGGAGACCAGTCTTTGAAGAGACACAAAGATCAGGACTCAAGAAAACATCTAGGTTGGCCCTCACAACAGCATTTTCCTGGGACTGGTAGGAAAAGGGCTGAACCCCTCTCCTCACCAAGCCCAGCACGTCTCCACAGACAGCCCCCTCCCATTCTCAGAGACGAGGGTCCCCACATGCCCGTACTGACGCCCGGATACTCCGAGGGACCTATCGCATACTATGCTGTCCCAAATCACTCCTCCTGGGCAACTCTTCTTGTGCTGAAGGACACTGCCAACACAAGGTAGAAGCCAACCTCACCAACACCATCACTGCTTGCTCTGTTACCACAGCTCTCCCAGACCTTTTTCCATCAACAAAAGCACCACCAGAGAGGTGCAAGGGCCAATCAATGAAACAACACTCCAAGATACAGGTCTACAAGGGATGCATATTCTCTTGCCTGCTTGAAATTCTTTCTCAGAGATGTCAAACAAATGGAGCTAGGGACACATTTCAGGAAGCAGAGCAGGTCCTGGGCAGCTGAGGGCTTGGTTCCCCCCCTTTCCTGATCAGGTTTTTATATCAGACCCATCTTGTGGTCTTCAGGCACAGCACAATCCTAGGGCCTGAAAAAAATCATGCTCACATGCCCTGAAGATCCCTCTTCTCACCAGCCCACCCCAGATATAACTTCCACTGATCTGAACCAACGCACAGAGATTGGACCCTCCTAACCCCCTCCCCATCCAGTTCTGCCTCCCCAGATCTGCTTCTAGCAGCAATTCATCAAGCACCAGGTAAGACCAGAGGTGGAGAGGGAGAAGGACGACAGGGCAAGAAGCCAGGCACAAGGGCTCTGGAGCAGTGACGGGGCAGAGAACATGAAGCATTCTGCTGGCAGGGAGGAAAGGACAGCACAGAGTGACAAAAGTACAAATGAATAACAAGAGTCTGGGAAAAAGCTGGATCTACCAACTGTCGGGCCCAGGCCCTCCAAAAGCACTGTCGGGACAGACATCCAGACTGGCTGTTCCTAACGTGGCAAAAATCTGGGCCCCAGGCCAACACCTCCTCAAAAACCTGGACAGAAAGTCTCTGTCCTGCCAGCCTTGGCATATTTGGGGGCCCCGTCCCACTGCCTAGAGACTGAGGCTGCTGTGCCTGCGTGATGGAAAAACACAACAAAAAGTTGTAGGGTTTGGCACATGCTGGGGTAACAACGCTGCCAGACATGACCATGAAATCGGCAATAAATGATGCAGAAAAGGCAGAAGTGCTCCATGACTGCTTACGTTCAGTTCTTGGGAAGCAAACAGTGTGAAAAGGAAACGCCTCCTACTCGTGCAAGGGAGAGAAAGTTAAAACAGAGTGGCAAAAGCTAAGCTGTGTTGGTGGCAGGATCTGATCCCTTGCCTTCAAGAGCTCCGAGAAAATTAGCTGACGAGCTCACTCAGCAGCGGTTAAAAGGTGCTGATTTTAACATGCCTTGGAACATGGCAGCAGTCCGAAAGCTCACGCTTTGTTTGCCAAGATCTGCAAAGGGAAAACCAATGACCCCTGTAATTACGGCCACTTAGCCGGACGCCTACGTTGGGCAAAAGTGTGGAAAAGTCACGGCAAGAAGTGATCAGCAAAGAACGAGAGGACAGCAGGGTAACAAATGCCAACCAGCGCAGAAATAGGTCGTCAGAGAAGTCTGATCCTACTTTTTGTGAGACTGCAGTATCTGATGACAATGGTAACTGTGTTGACACAGCATTTCGTTTTCTGTCAGAATTTTAAATGAGTGGCACACACCATTAAAAACCAACAATACAAAACCCATGAAGCCATTAATGTACAGGGTAAAAACTGGTCAAGTGAAAGGTCCGAAAACATAACCAGAAATGAGAACAACTGTAATCATAAATGGCAAATCTTGGTACAACAAAAGTACTTGTATAGAGGTGCGTTTGATCACACTGTCTTCCCCAAACAAGCTTGAAGAAAACACAAAACCAGAAAACTTGAAGCTAACATAGAAACAGCACAGCATAAATCACTGCAGTGACCGGCTGTTAACACAAATTGCCTCGTATCACTTGGTAAACCTGGCTGCTGAGAACAGGGTGGGTTTTAGTACAAGTCATACAAGATCTCGCTCCCGGGGACAGACTGCCAGGTCACCCCACAGGGTGGGCTCTTGGGGTGGAGAGCACCATTGTCCAGCAGCTCCTGAGCTCCCGGAGTTCAGTTTGGGTGGTAACTCAATCTGCCAGGTTGGAGGAGGCAGACGGTGCTCCCTCCAGGTGTAGTATCATCATAGCAAAGCAGAGCTGGAAGAGCCTTTGGAGGTCACCTCACCACATCCCTCCCCAAGGCAGGGTCAGGCGTAGCCACGTCACACCAACCTCTTCACAAAACACACCAGTGATGGTGACTGCGCCCCTCCCCACCAGAGGTCCGATCTTGATGTTTTCCTGCACCTCCCCGATGAAAGGGCAGTGCAGCACTTGTCACGGTCACCGCTCGCAGCGGTCCTGGGCCTTCGGACTGAAAGACTGCTTCTGGGGTCTCATAAGCCATCCTCTCACATGCCGCAGTGGCACCTGTGTCTTCTCAACACCAGGACAGGGCCGGCTCCACTCTGGTTCTGACCTACACAAAATCGTCTTCTCTAGCACCACTGATGAGCCATGCGTTTCCCACGCTGTGTATGAAAATTATTATTCCTCCTCACATATAAAGACAGTTTAAAACTACACCAGCTAATCTAGATAAACAGTGGATTGTCTGTACCCAAGACCATTTGTTCGATAACTTTTAAACAAATCTGCTCCAGACCAGACTGAAAGTACAAATTTGGCTCAAAGCCACTGGGTGAAATTCTCTGGCTTCTGGGCATAAAGACCCTTTCTGGCCTTAAATCTGGCTGTTCTACAGCCTGACCTGACAATACATACAGCAAAACAACAACCCCTGCTGCCTCTCCTCTCCTTGATGTGTCTTCAACTTGATTCACCTTGGTGCTACAAAATACCTACTTCAACACTTTCAGGCTGCTGCATCTTCTATCAAGCCCCCAGAAATGTGTTGTCTGCAGAGAAGAGTTCAGCTGCAGTTAGTTCAGCTACAAATCTGGAACTTTGCAAATTGAAACACAAGCAAAACCAGACCTGCAAACAGAACTGAGCAATGGCAGCCCATTTTTTCAAGCCAGAAGGCACAAGAATCCAAAATTGGGAGCAACTACACCGTCTAAATAAATATCTAATAAAATTGAGGGGAGGGGAAGGGGCCCTTAAGGCCAAACATTTGCAAAAACAGCTGAATCGAGGGATAGAGCTCAGTTCGGCTTGTTGTTCACTGCTGTACTGGAGATTAAGAGGCAGGGAACAGAAGCCAAGAGGATTCCAGGTTTTAACAGTGTTGCTGTGCTGACTGCATCGAGGTTACAACTCTGTAGCCCAGCTTCTGTTTTGATGACAGAATGTGGAGATTTGGCCCAGCAGCATCCCGAGAACTCTGGTTTTCCTGGCAGAAAGGCCCCACAGCAGCTAAGAGAGAAGCAAGAAGTGGCCAGGAGGACAAAGCCAGGCAAAATGCAGGAGAACAGGCAGGCACATCCCCACAACTGAACTCAACCCCTCCACGCTCATCCTGGGTGTGCTCTGGCACACGTGCTGCGGCATGCCTCCCGGCCGGGCTCCTCAGGCCTGCTGAGACCCCTGTGCCAGCGCATGTTGCCGTACCCCAAGCTCCCTCTGCTTCTCCCGGGAAAATTTACAAGAAATAACTCTTCCACAAGTTTCTTCCTGAGTGTGGAAGTCATGCATGCAGGGAAGAAGCTGCCGGAGATGAAAGGCAAGAGAGCCCAACCCTCTTCCTCTCCCCACTCTGCCTTTCTTTCCCGGCATTTTGTCGGCCAGCACGAGTGTCTCTGTGTTGTGTTTGGATTGTGGTGGTGCACAGTAAAAGCAGCAGCAGCAATATGCAGCGTAATGAAGCAGGGAGTAGCGATGGCCCCCAAAGGACTCGTTTACTCCACAAATCTCCCTTCCACTCACTTTTTGCTAAGAATTTTAACACCAAACTTAATTGTAAAGTCGCGTATTGATTGGAAAATGCAAATGGCAATTTAAATGTAATCTAAGCTCCCAGCATGATCCCAGCTCCCAAGGAGGAGGAGTCACCCGCCTTGGGCCCTACTGGAGTGCATGGCCCAAACTGAGCCGGGCCAGGGACCTGGGGACCCCCAGGCTGCCTGCGCAGCCTTCCCAGAAAGAATCTGGTACATGTGCAATTAGGAGTTCACTTCTAGTAACAAACAGCTGCGGAGGCTTAGTCTCTCGACCTAATTACCCACTTCTCAGAGACAAGCGTCCAGCTACGAAGAAGCTCTTTCCACCTTGCAGGACCATCTGAACATACGTATCAGCAAAAGGATGTTGCAGCAAAGGAATCCTGAGCCCATGGTACAGAGCAGCCCCAGCAGAGGCAACTCAACATCCATGGTCTCACCTGTCCCACCAGGGATTTCCATCTTTTCTAGATGTGGGGGGTGTAAGGGAGACAGAGCGGGTCACCCAGAGGTGCTGCAGAAGGTGGTGACAAGCGACAGCCAGCCACCACACCTCCATGACAGCAGACGTCCCCTCTCAGTCAAGCAAAGTCTCCACCCAGTGTTCCTCCTTTCTGCAACACCCAACCCACCGTCCCACTCTGTGGTCAGCCTTCCCAGCCATCAGACTTGGCTCTGTTCAGAAAACCAAAGCGCTGAGCACCAAACAAGGCTGTCAGCAGTCACAGAATCACAGAATCATCTAGGTTGGAAAAGACCTTGAAGATCATCCAGTCCAACCATTAACCTCACACTGACAGTTCCCAACTCCACCAGATCCCTCAGTGCTGGGTCAACCCGACTCTTCAACCCCTCCAGGGATGGGGACTCCACCCCTGCCCTGGGCAGCCCATTCCAATGCTCAACAACCCCTTCTGCAAAGAAATACTTCCCAATAGCCAGTCTAACCCTGCCCTGGCTCACCCTGAGGCCATTCCCTCTTGTCCTATCACTTGTTTCTTGGTTGAAGACTCATCCCCAGGTCTCTGCACCCTCCTATCAGGGAGTTGTAGAGGGTGATGAGGTCTGCCCTCAGCCTTCTCTTCTCCAAACTAAATCCACAGAGTCCAGGAGAAGCTCGCACACTGGTCACAGTGATCACAGCCATCATGGAAGGACACTGCAGGGCAACAACCCCTACTGCTGCTCCACATCACTCTCTGACTTCAATGATCTTTAGGTAATTTCAGCATGCATCAGTCTTGTTCTTGCAAGCAGAGGGATCAAACTGCTCCCCAGCTCCCTACAAGTGGCCGCAGCACCCCAAGCACAGCATGTGTTGCCATCAGCCCAGCAGTGCACACATACTGAGGGAAGAGAAGAAGTCTGACACCGAGCACCCAGGAACAAGATCCTGCATGTTTGCCACTCTACAGCCCTCAAAACAACTGGCTTCTCTGCTCTTCTATGGCGGGGCAGGACCACCAGACCACCTAAGAGTGAAATTAGCTACAGGCCTTGCTCTTTCACTGCCCTTCAAAGAGATGACAAGCAATGAGATCTCCGTGACTGTTCAGAAAGGGCAGGTCTGTATCAGAGACCAGAGTAATCATCACCTATCCTGAATCTCTGTGATATGGAGCTCCTTGGCAGCCTTTGCTCCTTTTCAGATTGGTGGTACCAAGCCATCGCTCCTCCCAGAGGGATGACCCAGCCAACAGCCACAACAGGGATGGTGCAGAACTGCAGTACTCTGGTATTGCTCCGTATCTACTGCACTGCATGTTTATACCAACCCCATCCCCCCGAACCCACATGTGGATATTGACCTGGTTTGTCCTTTAGGAACAAAGCTCTGTGCCTTCCTAAGATGCTGTAGCACAACTGTTTAATTCAAGCAGGGGGAGGGCAGTGATTTCAGAGTGCCACAGTATCTCAAGAGACAGGTCACAGCAGTGCTCTGCAGCTGGAGTGCTGCCCCAGGGCCAGCATCTCCGGTACGGCGCAACACAGTCAGTCAGAGCCCAGGGGCAGAGTGCTGTTGGCATAAAACCATGTCTACCTTTCCGACAAGACACTCTTCTTCCCCCAGTGTCAGTACCTGTTCCTAGAAACAGACTGACAGGATCTCCCCTGCAAAATCACCTCCCACGGCTTTGGCTACAGGAGGTGCCAGTCCTGAGCCAGGCCACAGACCCAGATCTCACAGGCTAATGTTTTGCTCCAGGTTCTCCTGACGAGCTGCTGCTGTGCAAACTGGTCACTTCTCTGATGTCCTGGAACCAGGCAAGTAGTTCAGCACCTAGTTCTGGCAAAGCACGGGAACGAAGCGCAAGCTTTGTTTTGCAGACCTAGGCCTTTGTTTCAGTTTTCCACCTGTTAACACGGTAACAGCACTGCTCTGCCTACAGCAACGACTTAATAATTACACTAAAATGCTGCAATCCACAGCAGACTGGACAAGGCCAGGCCCAGTTAGCAACACAGAGAGACACAGCAGAGAACAAAGAAAGCCTTTTGCCCTGCTGAGTGAAGGGAAATCCTGGGAAAAGCAACCCAAAGGCCCAGAAACCAAAGGCTGTGGAAACGCTCCCACGACCAGACCTCCGGCAGCCAGCAGCAGTTTTAGGGAGCCTAGTCAGGTCTACTTGCAAGCTCTGGTTGCTCTGCTTTCAGCCTCCCCTTTTTCACTGCAGAACAACTGCCCACTGGTTCCCCCACCTGCCCAGGCTGGGCTGACTCAAGATCAAGAGCACACGAGCACTGCCACCGCAAAGCAACTACCCATCATGCTGCCTGGCAGCCAAAAGGCAGCAGACGTGGCATGGAGGCAGGGCTTGGACTGTGCACCCTGCAGCCTCCCCAGTCAGCATGAGGTGGTGCTGGAGCCGGCGTGCCCATCGTCGCCAGCACACGGCCCCAACCGGAGGGTGCGCAGAGGCAGTCAGCTCTGCTTGGAAATCACAGAATCATCTAGGTTGGAAAAGACCTTGAAGATCATCTAGTCCAACCATTAGCCTAAAAGAGAGGAGCAGTGTGGACAGAGAGACAAGCACCCTGTGGTGGTTTTGGGGGAAGAAACAGTAAAAAAAGCCTTGATCCCCACTCTAACTAGAGGATTAAAAAAATAAAACCAGATCTGTGCTGCAGAGAGAGAAGGGGTACGACGTGGCACACAGGTGATAGACCCCTTCCTGCTGAGGCTGTGTAAACTGTTGGCACTCTAGAAATAGAGACCCCCCGCACCCCCCAGTATTGCTTCCCCAGCCACTGCTCGCTTCCAGCAGCCCAGAGGTGACTGTCAGCACACTGCCCTCTCAGGCACAGCCCTCCTTCCAATGCTGACCTGTCATGCAGCGGCACGAAGAACAAACCTTCTGCAGCGTTACTGCACGGACTGGAAAGGGCAGGAAGCTTTGGGAGCTCCGGCAGTGAGCAGGGTCTCTCTCTTCTGACCCACTACCCCCTTCATTAGTCAGCCCAGCCTCACCGAGTCCTTCTCAGGGGAGCTCTTTCCCTCAGCACAAAACAGTGGCAGGAAGACAGTACCTGGTCAGGATGCAGACTGCCTTCCTGCCCTGCTGCTCCTGCAACACAGAGGTGTCACCGGCCTCACGTGCACAGGCAGACAGGGCAGAAAGCAGCCAGCTGGGGCCGTTGGAAGAAAAATGGATTCACAGCACAGGGGGCAAGGCAGAAGCACAGCCAAGTGTTGCACAGCAGCGTGTGGATGAGCCTTAGTGAAAAGAAATCTGGGTGGAAACATCACCCAGGCAATCCATACCACTTGGCTGGCTCAGATATTACCCATTGCTGCTTACCAGCTGATAGAGACGGGGACAGGCAACACCTGGGGTCGGTTCCAGGCAGCTCGAGCTTCCCTGGAAGCCTGGAGGCAGGAGTCAAACATGCTGCTGCCAGAGCAAGTGGCTGCCCACCTCCAATTCATGCAGCTCATGGCACAGACACTGTGCTTGCTAGTTTTTGCCATTGCCCACAGTGTGGAGAGCCTCCCTGTCCTGCTGGAGGGCAGCTGGAGCAGGAGAGGAGAGGAAAGGAGAGGAGAGGAGGGAAGAGCTGCAGCGTGGGGGGCCGCAGCATGGGGGGCCGGGGAGCGGGCGCGGGGCGCGGATGCCCTCTGCTGGAACCGCTCGCCAGCTGGAGCAGCCCTCCTGCAGCTGGCGCGGGGGCTCCTCCGCGCTCTCCCGCGCCTCGTGCCGAGAGAGGGCACCCCGAATTTGCACCCTAAAGCCTCGTGGCACCTCCCCAGGGAGCCTGCTCTCGCACAGGGGCGAAGGGAGGAAGATCGAACCTGCTTCATGGGAATGGCCCGCCCGCTGCCGATACTGTCCGCTTTACACTCTGGCACCTTCTTCTCCCGCTCCGGGTCCGTGCCCTTTCGAGACTGGAAGAGAAGAGACACAGATCTGTTAGAGATGGAGGCACGGGAGATGGAAACGTCCCCAGTGGGCTGCCAGACCAGACCACTCTCCCCCAGGCCAGGTCTCCCAGTGCATGGAGCAGCCAGCGTCTTGCCCGTCCCCTCTAGGGACACTCCAGCCCCAGCCTCCCCACCTCCTGTCCCCTGGCAAGCTGTCCTCTCCCCCCACGACTGCAAGCGGAGCTGTCCTCCTAGCAGAACAGGGCTGCCTCTGACCCCCCCTCCCATGGGGGCACACGGGACATGGCGACAGACAGAAATGGCATGAGATGCAGGTGGAGCATGGATGGAAGCAGGAGAGGCTAAGGCAGTGAAGGAACTCACACCTCTACTAATCCAACAGATTTATTCTGTTAACACACTTGCACCATACAAAGTAGCACAGGTCACCGGGCAGATACCAGCCCCTTACAAAAGAGCATGGACAATAAATATCTATCACACGTCTAGAGAGTTGAGAGCAAAACCCGCCAGCCCCCGAGGGTGGCTGCGGTGAGAGCAAACTCCAATAAATACAATATGAAATATACAGTCTGTTGAGCAGAACTCATTCAAAGTGCTTAGGACAGAGGAAAATATCAAGTCATACACGGCATGGAGCACAATCAATACATTCAGAATCACAACAATGGCAGAAGGGCAGCGGCAGCGTCTCTCTGGAGCGTCCTACACACCCCCTCAGTCCGGGAGCGCCCCATGTGCTTTGGATCAGAAAGGGACATGAGCCCCACGCGCCTGGGACACCGATTCACTTGCTTTTGGGCCCAGAACAAAACAAAGAGATTGAAAGAGAAGAAAACTAAAGAGACACAGATGGCTGCTCTGCTGCGAGGAGGAAGAGGAGGAGGAGCAGGAGTCCATGCAGGCTGCAGGAGGTGCAGTAGGGAGGAAGGAGCGGAGTGCTAGCGGCAGGCGCTAACAGCAGCTCCCGCAGGCAGCAGCAAAGCGTCTTTTGGCCCATCCAGCTCCACTCGCTGCTGTCGCCCGGTCCCGGTGGGTCTGCAGGTCTTCCCATCCCATGAGGGTCGTCCGCCTGGCATCCCCGAGCATGGAAAGTGCCTAGACAGCATCCAGCAGGCCCAGAAATGTCCCAGCTTAAAGTGCAGGCGCAGGCCGTCTCAGCGCTTCCTAGACTTTACATTGGGGGGATTTAAAAGGCTCCTGCGTGTCTCCGAGGGGGGGACCCATGCTGGCTGGAGGGCGGGCGAGCCTCTAATCTTAGATCAATCCCAGTGCCCATCCCTTATCCGGCCCTGGAGAGGCAATGAAAAGTGAGAGAATTTGTACAGAGGTGCCGTGTGTAACCACCTGGATCTTCTAATTTGGAAGGAGTTGGAAAGGCCTTTTTGTTGATGAAAAGTTGGAAACAGTGGCACATATCTGCAAATATCGAAAGAATAAAGAGTTTGGCAAGTTATACTCAGAACATGGACACGAGTCTGTCAGCGATGGGCGCCAGCGGACAGGCAGACAGACAGGCCACGGAGCGAGGCGCCGGCGGCAGCAGCAGTCGGGGTTTGGGCTCCAGCTAGCGGGGACGGGGTGGGCACCTCGGGCAGAGTCTGTCTCCACCTCGTGCTGTCGGGCACACGGCCCCCTGCCGCTGCAGTGCCGGGGTGCCATCGGCGTGGGGAGTGGAAGGGGAGCCAGAGCAGGAGAGGAAGAGGAGGAGGAGGAGGAGGAGGAGAGGAGAGGAGGAGGAGGACTGGACACGAAGGAGCCAGGCACAGTGTGGGACTGGGACTGCAACTGCTCCCGGAGCCGAGCGGAGCACGGCCCTGCCCAGCACCGGAGCTCAGAGAGGCCTGTGCCCACCCGGGGGACCCCATGAGGAGGAGGAGAGGGTTGCCGCTGGCTACACTACGCTGCCTGCCCAGGAACAGCTAGCGGCACAAAAACAGCCTTCCCTTCCTTCCCTGCTCTTCCTGGCCCTGTCCCACTGCGGGAGGAGGTGTCGGGAGCTGCTGCTGCTGCCACGACCAAAAATGGGGCGAAGACTTGAACGTGAGCCATGTATGTGCACCAGCACAAGAGCAAGCAGGTGAGCGTGAGCCCCGGCACCGCGGCGAGTGAGCACAAGCCCGGATGAGCGCAGGTGAGCCCCACAGCCAGGGTGAGCAAGCTTGAGCCCAGAATGAGCGAGCGAGCAAGAGCCCTAGACGGATGATGACGTCCACAGCAAATAAGCGTGAGCCCCACAGCAAGCCGCCCCCCCCTCCCACCACTGAGTGTGTGCCCACAAAAAGTGAGCTGCGCATGGGGCTCCAGGAGGAGTGAGAGAGCGTGAACATGAGCTGACGGCGAGTCCGGAACCCGTCAGGACGCAGGCGAGCAGGATGGGTGGCAGTGCATGAGCGCCCGTGCGCACTGGTGCAGAGCAGCAAGCATGAGCAAGAGAAACGGCGGGGAGGGAGGAGAAGCATCCATCAGCACTGAAGTGCCACAGTAAGCATGACCATCGACAACAGGAGACCTACAGGGCATCTTCGGGGAGGCACACAGAGGAGGGGAAGGCAAGTAAGGAAACAACCATGCGTGAGGAGCAGTGGTTCCACTACCAAGGGCGGTGCGTGCTGGGAGGAGGAGGAGGATGGTGGGGGACAGCCGACCTGCCAGGCAGCCTGAGGAGCAGGGCTGGGGCCCGGGCCATGTGCGTGTGCAAGCTGCAAATGGTGAGGAGAGCATGGAGCACACAGGACATCCGAGACGCTGCTTCCAGGATGTCAGAAGCTGGGGGAGATGGGTATGCTCCCATCACGAGGAGTGGGGGGAACGCTGGATGCCAATAGTGCAGTGAGAGGGAGGGGGCACTGGGGTGTTGTGAATTTATGAGGTCTGGTCCAGAGCAATGGCAGCTGTTCACACAGGGTAACATGGTGCAACATGTACAAGGACCTCGTGGTGGCCAGTTCCACAGACAGCAGACACGGGTGTACTGAGCAATGGTGGCTGGAAAGCACATTTAGATGGGGAGGAGGAGAGAGGCCTGAGCCCAGCACATTTACAGGGGCACCAGGGGGGAGAGGAGCACATTTACACGGGGAACAGAGGCTATCTACGCTAGACACGGGAACTAGGAGTACGTGTGTGCTGACATCAAGGGGAAACTCGTGGGCTGTGCTAACAGCGAGGGTAAGTGTGTGGGCAGGACTGTGTGCACGTGGACGGGTGTGTGCATGGTGTGAGAGCGTGCTGAGAGGCAGGCTGCAATTCAACCAGCAGAGAGAATAGCTGCCAACATACCCTGCACCAACCTGGGACCCTCGGCTTCGCTGGCTCCCTAATGCTTCCCCTCCCTCCACACCCCACAGCAGTTCCCAGGCGCGCTGCTCGAGTCCCACAGACGCAGGGTTTGGGTACTGGAGCGAGCAGGGCTCAGTGCCGTGCACTGGGCTCTGCACAGCACTGCCTGGCACAGCTCGGCCGGCACCAAACTGGAAGCCCAGTCGCCAGCGGCTTCACACCATGCTCAGGGGACGCGGACCCAAGGAGAGGAGGAGCAGAGGTCACTGGCGCTGTGCACGCACAAAGCGCAGCTCTCCCTGGTAAAGCTGGGAGAGCTCTGCTCACGCGCACACGCTCCACACACACACACACACATGAGCGTACCCCGTGCACGCTCCTATGTGTGCGAGGAAGGACTTGCTCTCAGGCGCTCCCCCACGCACGCACACACCCACCAGCAGCAGCTCTCGCTCCGCTCCACTGTCCCTACGTGCATAGAAGGCTCCCTTCCCTGCCGCACACCCTGCGGGGAGACCTCCCCCTGCCCCACCACGCACCCCACCCTGTCACCCATCCCCTCCCTGGCCAGCACAGCGAGCTTCACCTAGAGACTAGTGCACAAAAAAGGCTGCTGAGGACTAACTCCTATCCCCGCCCCTCGGAAAACTCATCCCAAAGCTCCTCCGACCCCAGGGTCACTTACCGTGAATATGTTGGAGCGTCGCTTTGACTGCTTGCGGATGGGGGTGGGTGTGTTGGAGGCAGCGATGGTCTCGATCCGCAGCTCCCGCTGGCTGATGCTAGGTGTGGAGGGCACGGAGGAGGAGTAGTCACTGAAGGCTCCTCCACCGTTGGTGGCCTAAGGCAGAATAAGACCAGACGGTCAGACAGACAGGCAGCTGCCCAGAGGCACCACTGCGGAAACACCTTCCACTGCAGAAACACCTTCCAGCCTTCCACCTACAGAGCCTACAACACTGGGGGTGAGGAAGTGCAGCGTGAGAGACATCCCACACCACGTGCTGCTCTGGCCTAACAGACTGTTTCCCTTCTTTCTGCTCTAATTTTTCCAGTGGTACAATGTTAAAATTTCAAAATCAACAGTGAAAAGCAGCAAATGGACAGAGAGCTGACACTGGCTGCCAGGGAAGCCCTTCCAGACAAAGCTCTGGAGTGAAGGCACGGAGGCAGCAATGAACCATGCAGCCCTGAACAGCAGCAGCTGGCTCTCTCCTCAGAGGGACACAGCTGGGGATACTTCAGCGCACTCCCTCTCCAAAACACAGAGGCGGTGCAGCTATCCCTCAGACACGCTGCTGGGGAGAACCCTCCTCTGCAGAGGCAACCAGCCATGAAGCTGCGAGGCAGCCCAGAACATGCCCGGCTCCAAGTTCCACTCAGTCTCTTCCTTGTCTCATGATGACAGCTACGACACCAACAGGGATGTGTGTCCCAGTGAATCAAGCCTTCACCTTTCCAGTGTCCTGGAGCATGGGGTGCCACAAGCCAAGCTCATGCTCTATGTAAAACACATCTCTGTTACTGGTTTTGAGGTGACCCCATGCAGACTTCAAGGGTGGCACACACCTCCTATGACTGTGGACCACCATGGCCTTGGCTGCAGTGGCCCGTGTCTGGGAACATGTGGAACAATACGTTGTGTCTCCACTAACAACTCACTTGGCTTCAGGGAGAGGGGAAGACATGTCCTGGAGCACAGACGTTATGAGGAGCGGCTGAGGGAACTGGGGGGGTTTAGTCTGGAGGAGGCTGAGGGGAGACCTCATCACCCTCTACAGCTCCCTTGAAAGGAGGGTGCAGAGAGGGGGGATGAGTCTCTTGAACCAAGGAACAAGCAACACGACAAGAGGGAATGGCCTCAAGCTGCACCAGGGCAGGGTCAGACTGGCTCTTAGGAAGCATTTCTTTGCAGAAGGGGTTGTTGGGCGTTGGAATGGGCTGCCCAGGGCAGGGGTGGAGTCCCCATCCCTGGAGGGGTTGAAGATTTGGGTTGACCCAGCGCTGAGGGATCTGGTGGAGTTGAGAATGGTCAGTGTGAGGTTCATGGTTGGGCTGGATGATCTTCAAAGTCTTTTCCAACCGAGATCATTCTGTGATTCTGTGGGAAGATCTAACAATGCAGTTTGTATGACAACCTCAGCAATGCATTTCTGTCAGACAAGTAGCTGCTCACTCCTATTCTGCTCACACAGGCTCTGCAGGCCACGACCTGGCTATGAGCTTACAAGAGGTCCCAAGGAGCAATACCTGTACAAAAGTATCTCAGATCTGCAGCCCAGGACATCTTACTACATATGACAAGGCATGGGGCAGCCTGAGCTCTCTTGGGCAGTTCTGTTGATTCTTGACCAGTATTTGCAAAATAGATTTGAAGAAGCTGTCCCTAGAAGGCTAGGAGAGCTCTGGCACCCCTTGCAGGAGCAGTTCGCCTCCTCTCAGCTCATACGCTTACAACACAGTGCCAGTCAACGACGGCCCTGGGACTTCCTCCACTCCCACCTACTGCTTAGAGCAGAAAGTGCAAGCACATGCGGTACCAGAATCTGCCAGAGGTACTCAGTGAGAAAAGTAAGAAAACACATGCTGTGGCCAGTGGGATCTGAGCCTTATTCTGAGACAAGCAGTTAAGAAACATTAGAAGCATTGAAGAGGCTGTATAGGCAGAGCAGCAACCATGAACCCGCAGCCCAGTCTCCTAGAAAGAGGCAATTTTAACCCAAGCTGTGAATTGTCTTTGATAACAGAAATGGGAGAAGGCACACAAAAGAGAGCTCTTAAGAGAGGAAAGAGCCATCCAAGATTCAGCCCAACTTCTTCCTGTCTAGGCAGAGCAGCAAGGGACTTTTGACCAAGGGCAGGTAGGTGTGCCACAGGGAAATCCTGCTCTGGAAGGACTCTAAGATGGACCTCCCTCACAGCAGGGAGGTGAAGCCCATGGGGAGGCACAGTGCCCTGACAAATGTCCTTGAAAGTCACCATCTCCACGTAGGTCTGGAAAGAGCCTAACACCACCCTGGAGACAGGACAGCACCAAGCAACAGATCCTCTGCAGTCAGGACTTGGGCTGTCCCGAGCCTGCCTGAAAACAGGAAAGCTTCCGGTGCCCTGAAACACAAAATGAGTGGGAACCTGGTCTTATGTGTAAAAGGAAGTATTAGGATGTATTAGTACTAGGAAGTATTTCTTTGCAGAAGGGGTTGTTGGGCACTGGAATGGGCTGCCCAGGGCAGGGGTGGAGTCCCCATCCCTGGAGGGGTTGAAGAGTCGGGTTGACTCAGCACTGAGGGATCTGGTGGAGTTGAGAACGGTCAGTGTGAGGTTAATGGTTGGACTGGATGGTCTTCAAGGTCTTTTCCAACCGAGATCATTCTGTGATTCTATAAAAGAGGCCAGGCACTCTGTCCGGAGAAGTGAACGTCACCAGGGAGCTCCTCCTCAGGCTGCCCAGCTGATGAACGCTGTGCTGAACCACGTTCTGCTGCCATGTCCCAGGGAAGGGGAAATCACCGGGGACACAGAGAAGCAAAGCAATGTGCCACCTTGCCAGTGACTTTGGAACCTTTAACAGAGAGAGCTGCTGCAAACCACCGATTCAAGACTGCAAATGCTGTGATGAAGGAACAAATGCAGAAGCCTAAGGCTACCAAGTTGAAGAGAATTTGCTGAGACAGCTCAAGTTTAGGATCAGGCATAACAATGTGTGTACATTCTGTATTTAACTGATGCATAATGTGTGAAACATGTCAAAAAAAGAAAAAGAATCAACTTGTAAGGGAAGAGATGGCTGATGCTGCAACACAGAGAACCTGTTACCCAGAAAGGTGAGCCAGGCAAGGCTGCCAGGAGTCCAGAAACCCCTCTCAGGTAGTCTCCAGCCTAAGCTCTGCTTATTTCAGTAACCTTGTCAAGCATATTTATGAAGTTATGATTGTGGGAAGGATTCACTTCAGAAGAGGCTGTAGAGTTTGAGCTCCTGCCATAGCAGCTGGGACAAATTCTATGGATATTAGGTGATGGACACTGAAGCTCCTAGGAAATCTTGCTAAACTGTAGTTTACATTTTATATACGCACTGTAACCTTCTTTGTAGCTTTTGCCTGGCCAGAGTAATTTTCCTTAGCCCATAAGTTTGCCTAGTGTTGGACACAAGTCAAGGTTACTGTCCTTCTTGATCCACAAAGGACACAAGCATTTGAGCTTGCTGGTATTCCAGACACCCAAACCTCAGGAAAGGTCCTGGGGCTGAAGGATGTCTCACACCAAGCTACGAAGGCAATTGTGAGGGCTAGTGCCATCCTGTGAGTTTAGGAGCAGAGGAGAAATTCCCCCAAAGGCAGACAGCAATGCAGCCTCTGGCTACACAGGCAATCCTGAGCCACCACACCGCTCAGCTGAGGCAGACTGCTCCAAGACTTCAGTAGGGATCCAGGGACCCAGGACAAATCATTGGGATGGGGCAGAACCCTGACAGGTCTGGGCAAATACCTTATTTTTGCTCCTGGCAATTCCTTTGCTGATCAACACCACCTGTGGTCATTATCGAACTCTAAGAACACAGCGGAAGCTGAAAACAGTAAAACACACGTGGGACAAATCCTTCCTGTTAGAATTCCATGGGTGAATATTGTGAACTTCAAAGAATACTGATAGTGCCATAGGGTGCCCGAGCAGGGAGGAACTCAGCTAAAGTTAAGATGTAGGAACTTGTGACATAAAAAGGCATGAGGTAGAACAAGGAGCAAAGTTTGAGAAAAGCTCTGAAGAGTGCAAACAAATAGCAGCCACCAATTCATCGCCTGTGCAGGAACAGGGAAGAAGCCAGAGGAGCGTATGGGCCATGAAATGGCGGCATTTCCACAAGGAAACGCAAACACCCGATGCTTCAGCTGTCGAGACACACACACTGACTGAACTCTGCTGAAACATGCTGCGACAGGCAGGGAAGCGCTCGTCACCCAGCACAGGTGAGCTGCAGTTTGTGATTCATTTCACTTGCAAACTTTAATTTTCCACCTCTTTCATCTGCTCTCTTACTAAAGTCTTGGTAAATGCACTCCTCGGTGTGAGCAAAGGGCCCAAGCAGGACCGCAGGCCAAGGCCATCGGCGTGAAGCCGTGACACCCACGGAGCAGGGCCAGGCTTGCCTGGGCACCCAGGCAGCGCGGCGGGACCCAGCAGTGGCTCCCACGGCCCAGGGGACTACGCGCTTCACTCCACCAGCCTGCCAGGCTCAGTGTGGGGTGCCTGCGTTACCTCCTGCCAGCCGCTGGGAACGAGTCCCCTGGCAGAAAGACAACCTTCCATCCCACAGCAAACAGGCAACGTGACTCACCCCGCAGCCTGGGGTACTCCCAAAGGCATCTCAGAGTCCCTGAAGAAAGATGGAGAAAGGGGGAGCAACAGTAAGGAAATCAGATGGAATAACTCTGCAAATACTGAAAGCATCCACTGGCTTGAGAAAATCCCACACCATGCAGGTAAGGGACAGGCACCTGCCAAGAAGTCAAGGCCAAGCAGAGAAACGGGGCTCCCAAACACGTCACCCACTCGCCCAGCAACAGCAGGGCAGGACACAGGAGAGGAGAGCCTCAAGAGCTTTACTTAGGGGCTGCAGCATCCTGGGGGATCTGAGGTGTCTGTTCAAGCGGGGCAGATCCACAGCCCACAAGCAACTGGGACAGCCCAAGGGACAGACCTGGTGTCCCCAGGGGAGCATGCAGGACTCCTGGGACTGGCCCTGGCTCCTCCCTCCACACCAGAGAACCAGGGAGATGCTGAACGCAGTACTCGGTCACAGACCTGGCAAGCATGTCTGGTGCACTTGTGAGTGCTGGTGGA